GTGTAAATTTCGTCATCAAAATATTTACCTATATTTATGGCAAAATCACGAAGCAGCAATTTATAACCGCGTACGATCTGCATAAAATGAAATATAATATATTATATAATGAAGTTATATCAGTAATACATCAAATTATTATTATTTAAAAAATAATTCAAATAAAAACAGTTATGCTCAAAATTTAGACAAATTTTTTTCTAGCTTCAAATTGAGTTTAGCTGTTTATCCTGCAAATGGTTGCATCGCGGTAAGAGGATAAAGCCGAGCAACTATTCAAGAAGCTTTGTAGAAAGTTTGATGTTGCAACATTAACAGAAAATTCAATTATCGGCGTATTTCCTTTAACGCATCTTTTAACAAATAGATGGTTTGACAAGTCTTAAGCCGCTTAAATCGCTTGAGAACTTATTAGAACCTTTTTGAGTTATTGCGTTAACTTCGGTTGATCAAAACTCTTTATTTATGCACTTACCGCATCATTTGAGTCAATGCTGTAGAAATAACGATCAGGCAAACCGATTTCGCCTTCATCCAAAGTTATGATGTACTCATGCGGTTTGTTAAAGCTAAAATGGTGAAATAAGTTTAGAAGTAATTATATAAATTTATATATAATACGAATATTAAAAAAATATCGATAACACATACATATATATATAAGAAAAATACTAACCGATTTTCAACACTGACTTTATAATATGGAAATATGCCATAAATAGCCTGAAGATGCACTAACGCCTTTTTATATTCCCAATTCCGTAGTTGTATGGAATCCCGAAACGCTTGCCAACCCTCTGCAATGAGAGAAATAAAACTTAAATTTTTGAAACAACATGGTAAACGGCCTGATCGCCGCTTACGGGAACTTGTTTGATATTAAATATCTTAATATTTTAATCAGTACACTAGGGTGGAGTGGGCAGTTTAAAAAAATATTTTTTTGTATAATCTACAAATTTTACCCTCAGGCTAAGCAAAAAAAAAAATTTTTTTCGTTCCAACCTAATGTACACTCATACAAAATCTCAATGTTACTGCCCAACAAGTGAAATAATGAAGCAGCGCCTACGGTTTGGATTCTTGGACTAAAACTTGCCTGGTGATTTTTACCATAAAAAATAATTGAACATAATAATGAACCACTGTCAATGACGGTAACATCGAAAAATGTTAATGAAACAGTGCTTCGAAATCGTCGTGTTGGCATCAGAGAGATAGCAGAGTATCTTAACTTTTCTTATGGAACGACTCAACAAGACAAACCCTGAATCTTTTGTAAAAAACGACGTCGAATAGAGGTCGCATAAGAGATGCTCGACAACATAGCTGATGACCCTACATTCATTAAGGGGTTAGGGGTAGTCAGAGGCACGAAAAAATTAGAATTTTCAGTAATTTTTTTTTGCTATTAAATCATGTTATTTTACAAAAGTAGTAATATGGCATTATTACTGTATACAATGTTTTGACTTAAGTCACGAAAATTTAAAAAAAAAAAATTTTAATTTTCAAAGTTATAGGTGTCTGTGTTGTCCCAGTTCCAAAAAAAGGTCCTTGCGGTGACAGGTCCTTGGGGATTTATCTATTTAAAATCAATTTTAATTAACAAAATGGCGGCCTCAGGAAATATTTTTTTAAATTTTTGGGAAAAATCAACAGTTAATTGGTCTTAAAAACAAAAATCCTTTGATCAGGCCCGAGTTTATTATATATTCTAAAAGCTGTATAAATTTCATTCAGATCTACTGAGCGGTTTTCGAGTTACAGTTGTCACCAGTTCAAAAAACATAGTTTTGAGAAAAACGCATTTAAAGTTTCACACTAGAGCTCCCGAGCGCTTTGAAGTGCCCGAGCGCGCTTTGTTATTTGTCGAATAACTCAAAAAGTAATTATCGGATCAACTTGAAATTTTCACAGAATATTTTCAAGATATTACATTTAACGAAAAGTTAAGTGACGATATGTGGGTTTATGAATATTACGTCAAAACTGTCCAACAGTCGAGAGAATGATGCCGAAACCGAATAAAAAACAAGTAAGGAAGGGCTAAGTTCGGATGTAACCGAAGATTTTATACTCTCGCAAAGTCAAATGATATACTCGTTTTAGATTTCTTTGTGGATCTTGCCGTCTTGTTCTATGTTGACCGATCTTTCCGGTAAAAAGTCAACTATAGGCACTGGGGTCCACATATTCAGTACCTAGGGGCTTGAACAGTTTTGGTTCAATTTAGATAATTATTGGTCACAAGGTGGCATACTTTAAACGTATTATTCACGCAAGGTTTTACGCCGATATAATCATTGTTGCTTGATTTTCATAGTGTAGAATGAAAAAATCCGATGGAATTCCAAATGATGTTATATGGGAAATAGGCGTGATTGTAATCCGATTTCGCCCATTTTCGTACAATAACATAGGAAGAATATTATGTACCGAATTTGGTTGCAATTTCAACTCGTCTCTTCATCATGATCATTTATATATACATAACCCTTTATCTAACTCGATTAGTTTTAGGTGATACAAACAACTATTATACTCTGTAGCAACAAGTTGCGAGAGTATACAAATTCGATGAAGGCACTGAAGGTCATCCCAACCGAGGCTTATAACAAAGAACCTATTTTGAAGACAATGTTGTTTTTTTGTAAGTCCGGGTCAAACGACCACAAATTAGATGCTTGGAAAAAAATGTTCGCTTTTAAATCCAGCAATACTACTAGTGCTTAAAGACTTTTGTTTTCTCTCCGTCCGATACAATGCACTTTTACGGACAATGCTCAACCAACACTCCATTTTTGGAATGACCTTGATTTATATCTTGAAATAGATGTAAACTTAAAGAGCGTCATCAGAAATATAACACTCTATTTTCAATGTGACATCTATAAAACACTGAAGGAATTATGATATTTTCAAGGCGAACAATTCTGCCATAAGTTCTGTTACAAGCTCTGACCGTTATAAAAATTAAACTATAATACATTTTTCAAAAAAGTGAATTTACTATAATAATGCATATATTAAAGTAGCGTTGTACAAAATTGTATTCCAAATTGTCACCTTTTGCTTTTACACAAGCCCTCAAACGATCCGGCTATTGATCAATAGCAGCACACGAAGTTTCCATTGGTATTGACGACGCTGCTCGAACCAAAGATTTTTTGAGATTAAATTTCTGAATTTATATGGGGTATTCGATGGACCATGTTCTCCTAAACTCTGACCACAAACTGTAGTCCAATGGATATAAACGTTGACTTCTAGACGTGCTGGAGCAGAATCTTGCTCGAAGATCGAAGGCTATCCATCGAAAAGAGTATTGCTTAACTGTTTTTCTACGTCTTCTAAAACATGCTGTTGGTAAACTTTTTTCCTAGTTTTAACCACTTTTTCACAGAAGAGAAGTCGTGTAACACCTTTACAGGAGACTCCTCAACAAACCATTACAGCAGCTGGATGATGACCACTTTGGACCTTTCTATTAAGATTAATGCGTCTTTGGAAGTTTTTGCGTAATTTTTTGTTGTTTTTTATTAACTTTGTCAACGGTGGAAAGCCACAAAAGAAACGGCATGCATATATTGAGTCTAATTTGCTTCAAGTGCGTTGTCAGAAGATGACCAGTTGACCGGCAGTGCGCTTTCGTCTAGAGATCATCTCAAAACAGTCTTGACATAGATCTAGTCGATATATCTATGTCCCTTAACATAATTTTCTGCTTTCTAAGATGATTTTTGCGAATGGGTCCGCATAGAGTTTTTATAGTATAATTTGTTCGAACCACACGAGGACGACCCCTTTTTTTTCTATAATCAACTGCAGACGTTTGGGAAAACTATCAACATTTCCGAAGTATTAAGTTTTTTGAGAAGCCTTTGTATGTCAAGTAACATAATAACCGCAAAACGATATTCTTTAACTCCCTACTGAACTGTTTATTCTATGTGATTAGATACCGCATACAAATTATAATAAAAAAATAACGAGACTTTTCTCTGTGCATAGTAAACTTTGAAACAGAATTTGTGGCAAGCTTTTGGCACTTTGAAGTAGTCTTTAATTCATATAGCGACATTGGCGTTTTTACGATACGGAGTCGAAATAAAATGTTAGAACGAAATGTTAGCTTTAGAACGCTTTAAGTAGCTCCCAAGATATGTTTAGTCGTTATAAGATATTAAGAAAAAGTGTCAAAAGCAGATCGAAAATTTCTATGACTGGAATTGTGAATTAAGAAACAGTTTGCTGTCTCGGAGCAGAAAATTTCGAGAAGTTTTGAATTGTTGTTAAACTTAATACACCGATATCAAATTCCATTTAAAAATAATTTAATAAGAGCTGTTCCGGCTTTTAGATTAAATATGAAATGAGTAAATATTATCAAATATTCTAACGATAACAATTTCCAGGCCTATCGAGGGGTCAATACACTAAAAATTAACATATTTTTTCTCTTTAAGTTGAAATATTACCAAATTCATATAAATAATTACAGCATTTCATTAATCTACACATATATAAAACTACTTACTTGTAACTCATACATATCTGCTGGATTAAATTTAGTGAGACCTCTAATTTAACACCTAAGTGTCAATAAAGACAAAACGAAAAGGAACATAGTTATAAAGAAAATAGAAACTGGAGTACGAAAAACAAAAATTTTAATTTTTTTTGAGTAAAAAGTTTGGCATTATTATTTTATCGAACAATTAGTGTCTATGAGTGCAAAAATCTAAAAAAAAAACAATAAAAAAAATAAAAAAAACATGCACTTTGGGCAACACTGGCTTAGCGCTTAATCAATGATCGCATGACCAAAAGACAGACTCAACCACAGGGTATGACTATAATTTGTCTGCCGGATTTTCTCTAGTAATTAGCGCCTTCTAAGCGCATGTTAATTCCTACACCTCGTTTTCACAATTTTGAAACTAAACTTTAATTGAGTTTAATTAAAGCGAAAAAATTTGTCAACTGGAAATTCCTGATGCATATATTTGATATGATTTCTTAAATTAATAATATTTTCATATAAAATTGTTGAATAATTTTGAATAGGACATCAGTTTCAGCTAGCATTTGTTCGAGTTCGGTGAATAGACTATTTTGTCTGATCAATTAAAATTTTTTTAAAGAAAATGGAAATTAATGCAATTGTGGTGAGTGAAAAAAGGATAACAACATCTAACAAATATTCCTAAATAAAGTTCCATAGCGTTTATACTACAAATAAGAAAAATTGTTCTGAAGGACCTCAAATGAAAAAAATGTCATTGGAAAAAGTGACAAAAAAGTGTTTGTGCTCTTCTAATAGAATTTGTCTCTTCCATCGATTCAGCTAATCGTTTGCATTGCTACCTGCATCCGGCTAACAATTGCGCGTCCCGATGTCAGTCTTGGCTATCAGTATCGCCCCGGTTACAGCAGCTCCGGTGGCAATTTATTGCAGACACCACACATCACAAGTAGCAATTATTTTAGCCCAGTACCGACCTTTTCACAAACAGGGGTAGGGGGCTCTGGAGGTTCCGGTTCCGGCAGCTTTGGTTACAATGAAAACAGTGGCGGTTCTTCCTACTCCTCTAGCGGTTATGGAGGTTTGTCAGACAGTTTTAGTGGAGTAGGCGATTTAGGCAGTTCAACAGCCGGCAATGGCTATCAAGCGGGCTACAACACTGGCAATACACACTATACTCAACAATCATCGAACTTCGTTGGCCGTGCGCCGATTGTGACCAAACACTTCTGGCTGCACTCCGCACCGCAGGATCAGGATGAACAGCAAATTGTGCGTTATATAAATATTGGACAACCACGCAAGAACTACAATGTTGTGTTCATTAACACGCCTTCATCTGGTGTGAATAAGGCTAAAATTATCGCCAGTGTTGCGCCAGTTGAAGATAAGACAGCTATTTATGTTTTGGCCAAGAAGGCGAACGCTTTGGATGTGAGCGCTGAGGTCGCTACACCAGCGCCAGTTGTCAATAAGCCAGAAGTATTCTTTATTAAGTACAAAACACCTGAGGAAGCGCTACATGCGCAAGACACCATACAAGGTGAGTGACAAATTGAATACAATCATGTGATTTGCATAGTGAAAAACTCCTTTCTCCAATGCTTAGCTCAATACGATACTTTGGGCGGTACCAGCGACGTCTCCAATGAAGGCTCTATTCCAGTATCGTCCGTCATCGGCAATTTGGGTGGTTCGGTTGGCAGTGGGGATAATCATGTTGAGGTCTCGCATATAGTGCAGGCTGGACCATCAAGCAATAAGGCAATTCAGAATTATTTGCCACCGAATCACAAGTAAAATGTGATTAATAATTAAAGCTTTTATTTCACATTGTGAAAGCTCCGTAGCTATAAATGAAAGTTTAAATATGTTTGACGCTCACGTGAATTTGGAGAACATGTTGTGGTGGAATGAAGCGCTATTTTAATTTACATTTACAACCTTAGGCGAAATTACTCTCATATATTTAATAATTTCGAAAAGTATTATCATTTTTATATTTTTTAATATTTTATATGCAGTTAGAATGATGGACAATAAAAGTGTTATTAAAAATAATCTTTGTAATTAGTGTTTTGTTTTCTCCTTCCATTTCTATTATAAGCATTACGAACTTAAAAAAATCTTGTGTAAACAGTAAACATTAAACTCTGCTTTCGTATAGAATTATGTACTCGTAAAATGAAAACCACCTAAAGAAAGGCATAGAGACCCAGTGACTCTCTGTTGTGCATTTATATTGGAGAGCAGCAGGAAAAGCAACATTGGCTAAAACAAGTCCTCAGACTCTGAAACTATCAATACGGTACGAGTTGGAGGTAGCCCAACTGTTGCTGTCGAAGTGATGGACGATTTCATATTTCTTTGAACTGTCTTGGGAGACTACTATGAAATAGAGAACTCGCATAAAATCGATTAGCCGCTTGCAACAGCTATCAGCAAAAAAGCTTCTCAAAAGCCTATTGTATTTAAAAAAAACGTCAGACGTCACATTTTTGACAAAGCATGCTGCTGTGTCATTTCGTTGTGCTTAACTTTACAAACAGAATTTATGGCAAGACTAAGTATATCGCATTGAAAAGAAGTATATTCTATTAGAAATGCATTATTTCTCCAATAAATGATATTACTATTCTATAAAAAAAAAAACTTCTCAAACAGTTTTGTGATGTGACTCAGTATTGTTAGGTTAACACGCTTCAAAAATTTTTTGCTGGTGAAAAATTCGACTCAAGAGAAGCTTGTGAACGAACTTTTCTATGAGTATGAAATTACCTTCAGAATGCCCAAAAAGTTATCGAGGTACCTATATACCCTAAATCATATGATTCAAACTATGCTGAATATAGAAATTATGGTTTTCTTTTTACTAGACCTATTTTTAGAATTTTAGAAGTTCGCAGCAATCAGTAGGTACTACTGCTTATTCCTATCTATGATAGAGGCCGTGGTCAGCGGTCAAGGCACTTGTTTAGACATTCCACTCAAAAAAATAAACATTAAAGAACCTGCAGACAGTAATGTTAAACAAAAACTTATGAAACGAAACAACGAGTATTTGGAATTTGTATTTCACAACTTTAATTAAAACTAGTAAAGTGTTATTAGGTTTCAAGCAGATGTCTAATGTGTTTCTAAATTAAAATGTAAATTGAAATAATTCAGATATAACTCATATATTTTATTACGACTTTTAAAGCATAGTAGTAGCAATATTACGTCAAGAGCCTAAAGTCAAATGCACATACCAAATGACAACAACAAAACTGAATTTTGACAATTCACAATTCAAGGTTTATGCAGCAACATAAAAATTCCAAAATCAAAATCAAATTAAATATTTAAACAAAATATTAAAATCGCTAAATAAAGACTTATCAAAAGGCAAAAGAAAATAGAAAAAAAAACACTAAACCAATAAATACCAACAACGCTAATGAAAACCAAAAAAAGTCAAAATATACCAAATTAAAAAACAACAAGTCGGACCTTAGGTGATTAACGCTAAGCGAGGCGCCAAATTTATTAGCCATTAAGTGTTGGATCAAATTACGCGCTCCAAGATAGACCCACGCACAAATATGTATGTGTAATTATCCGCCACTAAAATTCATAAAAATGGGCGAAAATCAATAACACCAAATAGCTGTAATAAAAATAAAGATAAAATTATAAACTGCTAAATTAATAATTTTCTTAAAATATCTCGTAGAATATATACATAAATGATGAGGCGCTGAAACTAACCACAAACGCACTGAAATGTCGCACGGAGAAATAACAAACGATCAGCCAGAACTCGACCAAAGAGATCCTATCGCAGATATATTCACACTTTAACTCATCTATATCATGGCTATGATACACACACACACACACACACACTAACAACATTTCCATATTTGTACGCCAATGAACTCACTGATCTTTATCTGTTGACATCCGCGCGACAAGACGACAGCGCAAAAACAAAAATTTAAATATAATAGCAAAAATGCGAACAAGCCGTTAGGTGGAGGAAGGCGCCGCTGATATTATAATGGTAATAATAATAATACTTAGTATATTTTGCAACACTAGAATGACGAGTTCCTAACGCAAATGCCAACCAGTCTTCTTTCGGCTGCCGCCAAGATCAGCACAGCGGTAGCGATCGTCAAGATCGTCAGGCGATGCAAAATTGGCAATAAAAGCCGAAGAGCTCTCTAATATTGTCAGCACCAATAAAATTTTACATAAATTTACGCTGTTTGCTCGCTAACGAAGGGCGCGCACTCGTGAAACTATGCAGAATGGCATCACCAGTGGTCGGTCATTATGAATTCCTAATTGAACATTATCATTTGTTAAATTTGACAATCGTAAATAAAATGCGACTAATATCTGAATTAAAGTCTTGCTGATACGATCTTTGCGAGCATCACTGCTCGGCAATGAATTGTGATAGCAATGAACACAGTGGGATTCTTTATAGAAAGATCGTTGAAAATAAAATGAAAGAAATAGAAAACAAATGAAATAACATATTATGTTATAATTGACCATACGTATTGGGGAGGAGAAATGTTTTTCCATGAAGTTTTTTTCATCTTTGTGAATAAATAAAACTTAGTTGGAATTAGAATTGATCTTGGTAGTATTGACCTAATCTTGGAGCGACAAAACGACGTATGCCAACCTTCTCACGTTAATTTTTGACCGCCTCCAGGAAACTGCAAAACAAAACAGACCGCTCTGGAACCGTGGTTCACCAAATGGAAGATTTATATTAATACCGAAAAGAACATACGAAATATGTGCGCAGGTGACCTTATATGGACAGCTGCTACCAACAAGCTGAAACGAAAATATCTGGAGCTTACAGTTGACAAGAGGCATACATGGAGAAACCAAGTGTAAGAGAACGCAGCTCAGGTTAAGGTTTGCGCAGCTGCCTATAAGGCAATACTCAGACCAGATTTTCAAAATAAAATTCTTCGCACTACAGTGGGTGCACCTTGAAATGTGAGTAACGACTTCCTCCATCGAGACCTAAAGACGCCCACTATAAAATAAACTATAGAAGAATTTAGTAGTCGCTTCTTCTCGCGATTGGAGATTCATGATAATGTGCTTGCGATCCAACTGTTGGATCAACAACATTGATTATGTCAATAAATCTAGTTACTGCTATTAATAGTAAAACAGATTCTAAATATATTTGAATATTAAATAAAAAATAACAAATAAAAAAAAAATTATTATTTAGCGTAACGACTTCATATTTTTACATTTTCCGGGGAATAATTTCACATTGATGTAAGAGATATAAATTTACTTTATTTTAATAACGATCAATTATAAATAATGCAACCGCGTTCGATTAACTCGACTCGATCGAGTAAATAAGTACAGAATAACCTGGAACGAAAACACAATAAAAAGTCGCCCAAAAATATTTGACCTGTAGATAAGACCCAACTATCAATTATGAGTAGGATCCCAATTATATTGCTCATTTAACAATCGGTTCTATGTTACCAGAAGCAAATATAGCCTTAAAAACCTGATATTTTTGGGCATAAGCCTTTTTGTGTTTTGTGTGGATATACCATATTTGTTCCATACTTAGCACTCAAGTTCAAAATACCAATTATATTCTCATCTAACCTTATTCTAGCGAAGGGGTCTTCAAGCGATATCAAGTTCGGACGCAATGTGCATAAAGAATATATGTATATAAAACCTATTTTATTATATGCGAACCACCGTGCACTAAAAAATCGCCATTTCGGAGAAACACAAACATATTTGAAGTAATAATAATAAGATGCTAATGCTTTTCGGAGACTGCTAACGAATTAAGTATATAACTATTAGATATGACGCTTTTTCATGTGACCGCTCAGTGTACAAATAAATAATCAGATTACAACATAGGTCAAATAATCAATCAAAGAGTATATGAGACGCCCTGCCACGCACACGATCAACATGTAACACTGAATAAAAAATAAATAAAAAAATTAAATAAAAATTTAAATTAGGCACGAGCACATGTTGACACCGTACGTAAGAGCCGTGTATGTGTGTGTAAGCAGCTGCTTAAAAGCGGCAACTTCAAACGGCTAAGTGGGTTAATTCTCTAGTGCAATTAGTTGTAAATGATGTGTCAAATTGTTGATCGTAAAAATTCAACACATGCACACTCGACAATAAAATATAGTTATATGTATATACATATCTACAAATGGGATTAGTAATATGAGGAGTATATCCTTTAAGCTATAACACGCACAAACAATAGCCAGTAACGTCGCTCAAGAGATACATTCTTTTATATGAGATGCCGTACTAGTCAAACGGCTATAAATATATACAGACCTTATGTATGTATGTAGTAGCTTGCATAATTATGCAAATATTTCTAAGGCATTTCAAATTCAATGGGCAACAAACAAGCTTGGCGACCCAGTTCTGCACTTCACGATCATAAAATTACTTAATTTAAGATGGCGTTGACCACCCATTAGCTAGTCGCTGATACTACTTAAAATTTTTGCTCATGCATATGTATACAGACTTATATATGTATAGACACCATGCAAACATATACACTTGAGTGCTTAAGAGTAGTAAAGAAGTACTCAGCGATATGTTAATGTATGGATTATTAGTAGTTGGCCAACAAAATGTTTCATATAATTTTAAAAAGAAACATATTTCTAAGAGCTGAGGTATTTGCATTTTATATATGTACATGTATGTGTATATATAGGAGTATATAGTATATGCATAAGTAATAATTACCAAATTCTATGAATTTCCTACAAGTCAGTGAGCTAATAAGCATCGTTTATGATAAAATTGCACAGAACTGTAAAAAGCAAGTAAGGCAGACCCAATTTGTTGCAAAAAAAGACCATTATCGAACTTTAAAAGTTAAGAACATGGTATACAACTGTTTGACATTCGCCTTGGAATTTTTGTGAAGCTTGAATGTAGCAAGGAGTGTTTGGTAATAGAAATGGTAAAAACGTTCTTTTACTTTCGGTTGACGATCGAT